ATTGGTTATTTTCTTAAAATAAGTTTTCAAAAATAGAGAGAAGAGAAAATAAATTAAAACTATCCGCAACACTAGACTTTCCACACGTTCATTTCATTCGATTATGATTCAACGCGAAAGGTACTCATCACTGGGTTTGGTTTTTGGGGAGACACAAATGAGTGTCTACTCTTTTAATCTAGCAACAGGGGCAAAAGTTTCTCCAAAATCAATATCTTCTTGCTGATTATAGCCTTTCACAACAAGTCTGGCCTTGTTCCTCACAATGGTTCCATACTCATCCACCTTGTTTCTGAAAACCCACTTGAGTCCTATTACCTTTTTATTCTTGGGTTTCTCTTCAAGATGTCAGACCCTGTTCCTTTCAAATTCATTGAGTTCATCTTACATGGCAATTATCCAGTCAGCATCTTTGAAAGCTTCTTCATGATTTCTTGGCTCAGTTATGGATAGAAAGGCTTGGAAGGCACAGAAGTTCCTCATCTGTGATCTAGTTTGAGTTCCTCTACCAATGTCACTTATGATGAGATTAGTAGGATGAGAGCCTTGATATTTGAAGGGCTTTGGATGAAACTCTCTGGATGGAACTCCTATTTGAGGCACTTCTTCTTCTGCTTCCTCAAGTTCCTCTTCGCTGCCTGTTTCTTCATAACCTTGTGTAGGGAATTATAGGTACTACGCAGCGGAAAAAAGATGAATCATATTCATACAGTACCTAATCCCAAGATCTAATGCATAACACATAAAGAACATATAATCGTACCTTTGAAGCGTGATTCCACGTGCGATCGAGCAAGAACAATGGGGGATAAATAACCCCAAGCGTGATTCCTCTACTTAGTCCACGAGCATGGATTAAACCTTCACTAATGCTAGTTAGTTGTGACTGAACACTTCAATCAAACTTCAACGGAGATTTGAGCCACGAACACACCACAACACCACCCACGCGCCACCACACGCGCCACCCGGGGAGGAAGGCCGTACGGTCAGGGAGGAGAGAGAGAGAGGGTCGAGTAGAGAGAGAGAGTCGGGTTTTTGGGAAACCTGGTTGCTTATGTGACAATTAACTGTATGTCAATTGTTGTATCATGCAACCCTAGGCATGATTTATATTTATAGATCATATCTAGAAATAAATTAAAACCATGTCAAGTCCAAAACCCATTAGACTCTTCTAACTATCCAAGCCCAATTATCAACATGGTATGTCATGAACTAATGAGTATCAATAATGGGCCTCTAACTTGTTTAACCCAATACTCTTATGTGTGACCTTGTAGGATCCATTCTACAAGGCTTTGGGCCATTAAGCTAACCTAAAGATCAATTGCCATATCTAGCACCAAACATTGACGACCCTATAGAATGAACAGATTAACTCCATAATCATGATCCTTGATATATCTAGTAATTGCACTTATCGATGACACAACTCCTTCAATCTCCCACTTGTCTAAGACAAGTGCGCAATATTCAAATTCCTTAAGTCAATGTGTGCCAATTTGATAATATGATTGCATCTCATGTCGTAATCATATTAGTCTACAAATCTTTTCTTGAAATACTGAGTTAGATTTACAGAACAAATGATTACTATGTAATGCATTTGAGCATGGCCATGCATTTTCTGAATTCTCCCTCTTCAAGGGGCCAAGACACATTCCTATTTAATAGGTAGACTCAATCCAATCTTGTGGCAACCAAAGCTCCCACTCAACTCATGAAGCAACCGGGAAACACCCTTATAATCCCCAGTTACGACTGGACGTTTGAGTGTACCACAGCTAAATCAATCATTGAAAGGAATCATTGTTCCACTCATGTCAAAGGAATCCACTAATATATCCGGAATTTCTATAATTGAACTTCAAAGTAGGTCTATAGTTCGATCATGCATCATTCATGCACATCCATGTGATTGACCGAGCATCATCACTATGTTCCTATAGCCCATGAAACTGCACTATCCAATCAATCTTACATGCTAGTCCAATTTATGAAATCATTTATGTCCACTTTAATGATTCCGAACTAGGAACTTAAATAATGTATGAATTTAGTTTACCTGTGGGGTTTCATTCAACAGGTCATCAACCTGATGAGCCCATCAATTCATAATTATTTTGGACATTTTATTTAACCTTGAAACCACGATTAAATAAGATTGAAACTTTGTTTCAATTGATAAACATAATTCTGCAAATGAATGTATTACACATGTAACTTGTTTTTCCCAAAAATAAATACAACTTCTAATTACATCATTTGCCTCAATCCAATTTCATTAGCATGTTTCTCATGCTTTGGAAATGGAAGGGATTTAGTAAGTAGAGTTCATGAGACATTCTCATAAACATGAATTTTGCAATTTCTAAATTTTATAATCATATTCATCTCCATACATTAAGAATCTCTCTCATCCTTTTACTAGGAATTTTGGAATTTCTAATTTGTATTCCAACATCACCTTGGATTTCGATTGAAACCTATTATCACTTGTTCTAAAACACGTGAATCAAATAGACGAGTATAGTCCATGGCATGTGTAATACCCGAATATTTTATGATTTAATATATTATATTTTATAAAAAAAATAGTTATTTTTATTTATTAAATAACTTTCCTAATTTCATATTTATATTTTTTTTAGAGTTCGAAAAGGTTTTAAACCCTATTATATTTTAAATAGGACTCTAAATTTTAAAGATATTTTAAACCCTAAAACTATCTTTTGATAAATATATATATATATATATATATATATATATATATATATATATATATATATATATATATATATATATATATATATATATATATATATATTGCCGTGCAATTTCAGAATCTATAAAAACGTTGCCTTCGTTTTTATTTCGTTCATGAACTATGTGATGTTGTGAGGTTAGTAGGTTACCCTTGTTCCTTGATTTATGAGCCTTTAATTCTTCCTTATTATCACCAAGTTAATTAGTCATCTATAGCCTCATTCGAATTGATCAGCTTATACCAAATACTTTTGGATCATTTAACATCATAATCATCATTATCTTCCTTCCTTTTCTTTTTCAATTTTTACGAGTGGGTATTAATATAACTCCACCTATAAAATCCTCCTCCAAATCAAAATTACCCAATGACATAGTATGTACATGCTCGTGATTGCACATCCTTCCGTTTATCTACTAAGTCTTGTTGTTTCCGAAAGGTAATCACACGTATGATATCAATTTGGAGATGTTTGATTAATTTAATTGTATTATTTATTATGTGTAATCACACAAAATTCATGTTTAATTATTATTTATTATATATAATCACACGAATCTTAATCCTTGGAGTTGTTTATTTAATCATTGATTATTGTTTGTATTGATTATATTTTGTATTATTATATGTAAATTTTATGATTTATTTGTATGATCAAGATTTATATATATGTGATTAAAGTGTTGCATTATATAATTTGAGTGTCGTATTAATTGATTGTATTATTTATGCTATGGTTTTTAATGTTGTTGTTATAGGGAGTATTGTTTTATCGAGGTTTTAGGGTTGTTAGTACAGAGTATTGTTTTTGGGTTGAGAATTAATTCTTTTTGGGTACTAGTATTAGTTCTATAAGAGTTGAGATATTTGATGAGTCGAATATGTTGTCATGTTATTTGGGAACATGTGCCAATATTGAGAATTTATTATCATGTGAAAGATTACTTGATCGATGTATGAGATCAAAAGGTTGAGATTATTATTTTGTTTTTGGTTTGAGGCTCGGCGTTATAGACCTTAGTCCTTGGCATGTTGGTAAGGAGATAATGATCATGAGTTAAGAATGAGGTACAATCTTTATTTATTTATTTTTTTCTATGGTCTTCTACAGTGGAATTGGCCCGTATGTGGTCTGGTTCAAGGTGTTTTCTGGTTATTGAGAGTATTCAAATTTTTATACTTGTTGGTTTTATTTGAATTACCCATGTCCAAGGCTAGGTATAGAACAACGAGCATGGCACACTTATGGGATATATTGAGTAAAGGTTCGTATTATTATTCGAGGTTGAGTTTGACAAAGGTTATTTTCAGAGTACAATGTGAAATGTAGTTTCGAACTACATTGTTTAATTGATCTAATAATGTTAATTATTATATTATACTCTATATTCTGATATGTGGTGATTACTCAGCTTTTTGCTGACGTGTGTGTTATTTTGTTGTGCTACTTGTATTTGCGGCCCATGTCTTTTTCTTATGGTGGCCCTGCACTACAAGAAAATCCATTTATCGCAACAAATGTTTGGCAACAACATTATAGTCGTTGCTGAAAATTTTATTAGCAACGATAATGTCGTTGCAGTTGGTAAATTTTCATTTCCCTCCACACCATGCCAGCGCGCGAGATTGAATTAATTCACGGTCTATTTTTTACAACAACATTTTTGGTTGTAATATATTGTATAAAATACAGCAACGACTTGTTTTGTTGTTAAATATTCAATTAATATACCACAACGACATCTTTGTAGCAAAAAATAAAAAAACAAAAAGGTAAAAATTTAAAAGATTGTACTAGTGGACTAGAAGCTTCTTTTTAGAGAATGTCTTACTTTACTAATCCCAATTGTAAAACCCTACCCTCATTCACGCGCCATTATTTCCCTTTCATCCCGCCACCGTTCTCGTTCTCCGGCAAAGTAATCTAGCCACTAATTGTCACCGCATCGCTGCAACTCTATCATTCTATTGCATTATTAAGTAAAAAAAATAAAAATTGAAGTCACATAAACCAGCAGAAAGATGTGGGTGTCGATAATATTGAGGGTGTCGAACATTACTGGTGAATGTTCCTTCTAGCCCTTGCGTTTTCGGTTAGTATTCTGATTCTATTTAACAATTTTATTATTTTGTAAAGTTTGTGTGTAGTTTATATACATGTAGCCCCTCCAATTCTTTGTTTTATCTTGGCTTTCCAAAAATACTTCATTTTAAATTTGGTCACCTACAAGATTTTTTTTTTTTTTTTTTTATGCCCTTGACAATCCTCTATCTTTCTTTATCTTTCTTAGAGTACAGAGTAAGCTAACCTCCTTTGCAAATTGGCCATGTTTTTTCTTTTACTTTGCAGATATGACATTGTTTTAGATATGATATGATATACATGCTTCTAAACCTCCTTACAATGTGAACTTAGGGAATGGCTTTTGATAAGGAATGGATGAAAATTAGTCATCATTCATTGCCCGAATACAGGTAGGGTGCTGATGGCTTTCTGAACTTTGCATTTTCAAATGTCACAGAAGTTCATGATACTACCACAATTAGATGTCCTTGTGATAAATGTCGTAATCTAATTTGTAAAAAAAGGAGTGATGTGAGGTTTGATTTATTAAAGTGGGGATTGTATGCAAATTATACTACCTGGGAACTACATGGGGAAATTGTAAACCATTCTAATGGTGGTCACATAAGTGAAATTAGTGACATAGAGGGGATTGGACATAATGACAGTGAGGTTAACATGTTGGAGGATGCTTTTGGAGTGCCAAGCATGCATTTAGGGCGAGATGAGGCGGATTCCAATAACAATAATGAGGAACCTAAAGGGGAGGCAGCAAAGTTTTATCGTTTGTTGAATGAATATCAGGAGCCCCTAACAGTTGGTGGCACTACAATGTCAAAGTTGTCTTATATTGTTAAATTGTTGCACTTGAAAGTCTTAAATAATTGGAGTGATAGTTTGTTTGATAGTCTATTGAAATTGCAATGCCAAGCCTGGGGAACTAGCCTTCCAGATTCTTATTATGAGGCAAAAAAACTGATTACTGATTTAGGGCTTGAGTGTGTTAAAATTTATGCATGTAAAAATGATTGTGTTTTGTATTGGAAACAAAATGCAAAGTTAGACAAATGTCCAACTTGTGATTTACCTAGGTATAAAAATATTGATATTGGGCCTTCAAAAGTTGAATGTGTTGTGTTAGTTGTATGAATGTGTTGTGTTAGGTATAAAAATATTGATATTGTGACTTATAAAGTGACGATGTAATGTGTTGTGTTAGTTGTATGAATGTTTACATATTTTAACTTCAAATTTATGTTTTTGGTTAGGAACATTTAAAAGTTGTTGTTGCACATGGTGAATCAAAGACTCAAGAAGAGATTCTTCTAGATGTTTTGACACCAAGATCAGGGTACTTTCGTGGAAAGGGAACTGCCTTGCCTGGCTTCAGCAAAGGAAGACATCAATTAGAGCATCAAAGCTTAATACGTGAGCAACAAAAGAAAATTCAGGAGCAACAAGAATTAATTAAGGAGTTGCAAGAGAATCAGGAAAGAACTACCAAACAATTAGAAGAGACTCAGGAAGCAACAGCAAGACAATTACAACAACAAAAAGAGGAGACATAACGTGCAATGAATGCAATGAAGGAAGAATTACTCAGAGCACTTGGTAATAGAGTTGCAAGTTAAACATCAAATATTTCCAGGTAATTTATTTTGTAAATCTTTGTGTGTGTGTGTGTGTGCTTTTTTTTATTTTTTTTTACTCGAGTTGGGTAAACTTAATCCTCCAAAACTTCCACATCACCATCTTTGTCTACAATTTTCCAAGATGCTCCATCAGTACAACCTCTTTGAAAAAAATTAAGTTTTATAGTACGTGCTACACTTTGTTTTTATTATAATTATTTAGTTTGTTTTTGTGTTTCTACTCCTCTCTCTCTCTCTCTCTCTCTCTCTCTCTACTTTTCTCCTCTTAAATCCAGGGTTCTTATGTGAGATCTTTGCTCCCTTTTTCTAACTCTCAAATAAGTTTCTTTGAAAGTCATCATCTCAATTATAGTAGTAATTATAATACATTAAAAAGCAAATGATTATAATTTTTTAAAGGAAGACTAAGTTGGCTATCAAATGTGTGCTTCATATGTATATGGTATAGGATTTCTATGATCATTTTATTTCTTAATTATGCAAACTTTGTTACAGCAATTTCTAATTTTCTTTCATCAGAATCATGCTTATAGTAAATCAAATACATGATGCCAATATAATTCTTATAGATCTTTTAATATTTATCAAAATTTCTTGAAATTTATTACATATATTATATATAAAATCAAAAGAACAAGTGATGCTAGATTTTGCATTGGGTTCTTCATAATTCTAAAATTATATCTTCCTTTATTTTGCTAATGCAGGTTATGTTGGAAAAGTATTAGTAAATGCATGGAGAAAGTGTGCAGATGATATGTAGTATAGGTTTTATTTTGCACAATGACTACTTGTTGGACATGACTTAGTGGAAAGATGGTTTACTCTATTATGGTTGTACATTGGTGGGATGACTAGAAAATTAGCCTTTTGGAACAAAGATGGATGTAATCTTTTGGGAGAAGTCATGTTTAATGTTGACTTAGACTATTAGATGTATATATTTATCTAATCTTTTGGATATAATCACTTGTGTTATGTTAAATATTACACATGTTAAATATATATTAACTTATTAGCAATTTACCTATTTGCATTTCCAATAAATTAATAAATAATTCTACAAAGATTTATCGCTAAACCATAAATTAGCAATGACTTGTATGGTTGTAAAAAATATAATGCATTATCACAACAATAAATGTCGTTACAACATACAATTATTTTGAAATGACATTTGTCGTTACCATACACCAAATTAAATAAAGCAACGATATTAGTCGTTGCACTAAAAGGTATTTTTATAACGACAAATGTCGTTGCAAAAGATTATTCAACATATTGCAACGACAAAAGTTGTTGCCATAATTTCCTTCTAATGCAACGACCTTGCAACGGCAATTGTCGTTGCTATAGATTTTTTTTGCAACGACTTTGTATTTTTTGCAACGATTTTTTTTGTTGCGAAAAAAAAGTTTTCTTGTAGTGCTGCGACGATCTATTTTGGAATTTGTCCTTAGTGGTGAGCAGTCAAGATTTTCTAAGCAGGTTGATCAAGTGGTCGTAGCTAAAGGAGCTCAAGTGTTTCGATTAGTGTGATGTCATGAGTTTATAAAGTTGTATTAATAGCTCACCTAGTTTATTGGGTTGTAATTATTGGGATTTTGTAAGCCTTAACACTCGACAGGTTGTTGAGTGTGGCGGTAATACCTCCGATTTAAGTGTATGCTTCCGCAGTTTTATTTAAAGGTTGTCTATTTTTCCTTTATTTCTTATTTATTATTAGCTAGTAAATCGGGGGTGTTACAACATGCATGATGCATCCTTTGCGAATTGCATAAGGATCATCACTCAAAATCTTAGTTTCATCGACCTTTCTCAAAGTATTGAATCATTAAGCAATGTGCCATGTTACATGGGATTGAAACTCCTTTCAATATAATGTTGAACCTTATAAGAATCTTATCAATATAAGCTTCTTAACCAAACTTAAACAGCCATCAAAACCTATCTCTATAGATTTTGAATCCTAAACATACTCATCGTTCTCCTCAAGGTTTTTCATACAAAATGCTTCAGCCATTACTTGACCCTTCAAGCAATGAATAATTTCTCTTTATACTAGACCAAGAAGACTTCATAGCTCCCACTAAACATCTTGTACACACAAGACATTTTCTTCATTTTACGAGAACATCAAACGATTTGATTTACTCACAAAATTAAGAACATTAATCAACTCCATGATGCTAACTTCAATCTATTAAAGGATCTTTTATGCATCTTTAGGATTATTGGATTTTCAAAATCATTCTGATTGTATCATATACAAATCTTCTTTCGTGAACAATTTCAAGAAGGCGTTCTGAAATCCATCTACCAAATCTTATAAGGTAGAAATCACTAAAATATCTTTAATAGATCTTTGCAACATGACTAATGTAAAATTTTCGTCGTAGTCATAGTCATACTATGAATTAGTTGAATCCTTTAACAAGTCTTTGCTTACTTAGAAAACATTTTTCTTTCTTGTCTGTTTTGCTTATAATGGGTCTCACCCAATTAGGCAAATTATTCAAGTGTCACACACTTGCTTACAGATTTAGAATCTATTTCAGATTTCCTGGTTTTTAAACCACTTGGAGTTATAACTTGTCAAATCATCTTTGTTACTTGCATAATCATCATGTTCCAAAATGAGTATTTTAGAACTCTTAGTCAATATGAAATCATATTTCTTTGGCTAAGTTTTACGTATGCTAGTCATCATTGTGGGTTTTGATGCAACAATTGAAACTTATACAACAACTTTGTTTAGTTTCAATGAGAAACGACAATAGAGGATTTGCACTTGGAATGTACTACCTTCGACACATGGTTATTAATCTCATTGTACTTAATGAGACCACGCGTTGTCATTTGTAACATGAGGTGAATCATGCTCATATTGTTGCTTTTATTCAAATACTTCTTGAATTTCTTCAAGATTTTCGAAATCACTTTTCTTGAACTCTTCAAGGTTCTAGAACTCTTTCAAGATTCTTATACTCCCACTTGCCTTTTTTGAGGAGACACTTTTTAGCATAGGGTGAACCAACCATGGTTTGAACCATGTTTGTTTGTTGCTTTTCTCGAACTCTTTCAAGATTTACACTACTCCAACTTGATCTTTTGGAACAATTTCCATAAGGGAACCTACTTGAGCAACAAACATTTTGTGCTAAGTATGATTTGTGTAGTAGTACCCCATGCTCTGTATAGGAATTGATCGTGCATTAAACGATTTAATACAACATTTATTCCTTTCTTTGTAGAAAGACTTTATAAGAACTATTCTTATCCATATCACATACGAAACATTTGCTACATTTTGATTTGACCTATGTATCTTTGTTTAGTTTTGTAGCTTATCTTAAAAGTATATTTCTTGAATAATGGTTGGAAGATAGGTAATTTTATCCATTATCAAAATATATCTCATATAGATTGATAGCTCCCTTCATAAACACTTCACAAGGTTTTCTTTCGGAGTTTGTCGTAAAACGATTTCACAACTCTTGGATGTTCATCAAGGTCTTGGCTTAAATTTTCTTTATTACGATCATATCGCAATATTTTGAATGTGTTTCCAAGTAAATGTCTTGACTCAAATTTTCACAATTACAATCATATTTTAATGCAATTATTATCTTGTCAAGTTGATACTGAACTTCATACTGAACATTTTGAACTTTTCAAAATTTTCACTCTTATGCTTCAACTAAGCACAAGTAGTGATCGTATCACAAATGAAGTTTCATTGTCCGTCTCTAGCCTTTGAACCTTTGGTTTTCTTACATCGATATGTATTCGACCTCGAGTTCACATCATCATTTCTTTAATTGGTGACTTTTCAAAATTTCAAATTAGAATGATAATTACATATGTCAATGGATTCTTAATCTAATGATATTGAAAGTCCATCCCTTTGGATCTTTCGCATGCAATGTTCATTTTTGTTCGAATTAGAGACAATTCATATATAGAAATTGTTTAATTATTTCTATCATATAGAACTTTGAACCTATTTAGCAATCTCAAAATACATTATGACTCAATGAAGCATAGAATAACATTTATTACACGTTTTTGAATCTTCGATGCTTAGTCATTACTAACATTGAATGGTGTTTTGATAATGGCAAAAATGAATAACATTTATTTAATTCTAGCCAATAACTAGTAAAGGTGAAATATAGGTCCTACTTGTAAAGTTGCAACTTTTGCTTCCAGACTTGTAGATTCTACTTGTGAAGTAGCAACATTTGCTTCTAAACTTGTAGATTTATTTCTCCTTTAGCCATACTTCTTCATTTAGTTCAACCTCATTCTCAATAAGAGAGAACTAAACAAGACATCATATGTCAAAGAAGTAGTAATGTGCTAAATCAATTTCTATAATATACTTCTTAAATTTGGAACATTTCCATTCTTTTACCTTCCAACTATATGAGGTAGTTTCTAATCAATTGGAATGGGTCCATTTAATTTGAAACATTTGTTGTTCATAATAACTTTTAGCATGTAAGTAGTTTTAGGTTAGAGAAGTAGCAACTTGTTTGCATTTCTTGGCCTATAACTTCTTAATGCAATCCTCATATATTCCTAAATCTTTCCCATTTGAGCCACTTAGAACACTTCTCTTAGGCTCAAAATGATGCTTTGCTTAACTACTTTAAGCACTTTTCATGATTTTGCTAAGTCTATTCAATCATTATTTATAATAGAGTTTAATCAACTATTTAACTCTTATATAAAGTGGACGAAGAATAGCGTCATTTGATCAACTTTTGATCATAGAGATTTCCAATCACTTTCTTATATTCAATCATATTGAAGATAAGAGATTTTATTGGACTTTTATACTTGTCTTTTAGAGGGTTTGTACCTCCCATCTCATTATATCCCTTGAAACACTTTTCAAAATGAAGATGTGTTGGCATTTTACTCAAACGATTTGAATAAAACCAACCTTAGACATGTGACATGGATTTCTAAAACTTGCCTTTTAGAACCATCTTAGCATAATTGGAATATAGGTTTATGGATTATCTTTTAACCTTTTGAGAACGTTTCTCAAATTTATTTCCAATCGAGGAGATTATATGTAAAATAAAATTAGAACGACATGTTACTTATAAGTAAACACAAAATTTAATTATGTTTAGTAAAATTTAAAGTACCATAAGCGAATTAAGTTGGTAACTTTAAAGCATTTATTCAATTTTAATTGATCCCTATTGAATAAAATGATTTCAAGATCCTTTATTTGTGCAATAATTGACCGGACTGAGGTCCTACCATCAAGTATTGCATTTTCAAGGTGAGTAACCTCTTTACTAATTACAACTCTTTGTAACTCTTGGTTGAATAATTAATCATCACATGTTTAATTATTACTCTTAGCTTCAAGGTTCTAAACGCTTTAGGTAACCTTGTTGAGTATAACCAATTAAAATTGTAAAACATGATTTACCCCCACTCCCCTAAGATATAATATGACCTATCATAAATATCGAAGGTTTCATCGGGTTTTTAATTGGAAAAGCAACCTTAATATTACTGGGACCTAGATTTATTATGTTGTTATTAAATAGTGAACTCTAGCACATCATCACAAAACATCAATAAAATCTAACATGCATAATAAACTGAATGCATAAACAAGAAATAGCATGGCCCCTAATCCTAAGAAACTAATAAAGAAAAAAACTCCCACTTGAACCTTCATGGATCTCATCCACCTTGTTCCTTTGGGCCTTCACTTCATGGGCTTCTTGGATTAACTGCAACCTGTAGTTTTACTCTATTCTATCTACACTTAAATAAAATAAAATTACAAAAATACTTTATCGGTACGTAGACCGTACTAAGATTACAAAAATACATCACAATGCGCAGATCGTATTTAGTAAACTACTGGGCCATACTAGTCATTATATAGCAATAAATAACATCATATATTATAAAATTGCCACATAATAAATCACTCGTCATGCTTTCCTA